GGATCTTCTGCTTTAAATATTTTCTTTAAAACAGTGATGGACCTGCACATATCTGTCCAATTCTTCTGCCAGCAGTTCATATCTGAAGAAGGCTGGCAATGTTTAAAGGCGCAAAACATGGAAGCTCAAAGAAAACTTGATTAACACACTGCCAGCTACCAAAATTATCTGCCTATGCATTCTTAGTAGCTGTGTTAAGGGTTGACAAGTAGTCCTCTTGTTAAAAATGACCTCTTTTCATAGAGCATTTTGAAGAAAACAGGACGTTGTATAGGGATGTTTACTAGGCTTACAGTTTTAATTTTAGGATCTGTATATTTAGCTATTACTTAACTTCTTCATAAAAATGCCAGCTACTTCAAAAATATCCACTGCGCTTGGGAACCTCAAAATATAGCATGAGAATGATGGAAACTGGACAGAGGTGGGTAGGAGGACTGGGGCGTCTAAGAATCATGGGGTGGCGCAGAATGCTGGTGTGTTCTAAGTGCCTAATTTGCCCTCACTACTCCTCTTGTAACATAGGTTCTGTTTTTTTCATTAACAGTAGGTCCTTTGTTCATTTTAGATAGATGATGGATGTTTGATTCCCTGGAGATTATTTTCCCTCACCATATCCAACTTATTCAACTGGACCAGACTGGTGACATTTCTCTATGGTTTTTTTAACATCTCAGAAGTAAAACTGAACGTAAGGTAAGACCAAGTCGCATACATGAAAGGATTTTGAGTTTCTTATTCTTGAGTGGAGGGCAAGAAGGAAACATTAGGGGGAAGAAAGCCCTGCGGGAAATATATGAACATCTGAGAGTAAAACAATGGAAGAGGTTAGAAGAAGGAAGGACAAGTCATTTATTGAGATAAACTAATATATAATATATCACATTATTTCTAATTGTTTGGGTATTCACATGTGGTACTTTGACTTGGGAAATTACACCAGGGCTATTTCCTAGTGCCCTTTGGCCTTAGCACTGAAGCTCTAGCACTAGGAGACTTCAAAATGTCACAATCTGCGTCCTAGTCAAGCCATGATGAGCTGTCCCTCCTTCCAGGAACACAAAGAGGGTCTTGGAAAGAGCAAAATTGCATGAGATTTGAGGGAAAAAAATACCCTTCAGAAATAACCTCAGGAAAACATCAAGGAATGGCAAAATTACCTAATGTGGACTCGCACACCCTGCATTCTGTTTATTTGTTCAAGACTAATGTCGCTAGTTTGTTCTCCGTGATTTGAGAGGTCTGCCAATCTTGAGCCTTCTTTTCAGTCATTAGAGGGCCCATTCCATAGCTGGATATGACTGCCACCCAAACCACCACTGCAGCCCTTGAAAGTTGGTGCAGAGTTCTTGGGCACTCAGCTTCTACTGAGAGAGCATGGTGCTCTTCCTTGAGTTACACTCTCAGTTCCATCCTAGGGATAAGTCTTCCTGGGCACTTTTCATTCTACTGATGTAGAGACTAATGGGATGTTCTCCTTATGAATGCCACTGAATGACTCTCATATATGGGAACCAGGCTGAGGTGCCCTTGGAGCCAAGGCTTCATTATGAAGAACATCTATGTTTTGTTTCTAAGGAAACAAGGGCATTCAGGGCAAAATAGAAACTACTTTACATGTGGAAAATATTAATGACAGAAATGGTGAAACAAGGCCAGAATCACATTTTTTCTTGATTTATCACATGCTATTTCCCTCC